AAACTACTAATTGACATTCAGTAATACAATCAGCCGTAGGATAGACAGAACTCTCGTTGTAGTCCTGGCTCCTGAGTAATGTTTCTCCAGTAAAACACTCCAATTCACGCCCTATAAAGTTTATCCATGCACTAAAGCGCGGCTTTTTCTGAAGTACAAAATATAATGCATGGGCGTTGGATTGGCAAAAACTCATGATGCTTTAACCTCAATGGCCACTTCTCAAGGTTTAAACAACTTTACAATCAAACCCATTCAACAATCTACAGTAAAACTCTTTGTTCTAAACATGTGGCTGTGTCTCAATCTCCTGCTACCCCTTTCTCAAGGTTTCTGTCCTCCAGCCAACCTGGAAACCTCGCTTCATTCTAAAAGATTTGTCAAAAGAAAAAGATTCATGCGAAAGAGCAATAAAACGTTGTTGTGACTGTAAAAGTCGAGACATTTTTGGAAAACCAAACCCATTGACATGGCTTTCTTTAGACACTCCACGTTCCCATTAACTTCTTTTTGTGGAAAGAGTCTTATGACTACAAAAAGTCATTGCTAGTTTGACCATAACCACAGGGTTCAAACTTCAAACTGGAGCAGATTCTTTAAATCAGCTGAGGTTATTAATTAATTCAAAGCTGACTGACAAAAATACTTGCTTCCTGCCAGCATTACATGACTCCTGGAAGTATCCCATGTCTTAACTGTTAAAACTTAGCAGACTTGAAATAAAAATTCGCAAAGTAGAGATGTCATACACAGTCTATTTTGCAAGTAATAACAAAAAGGTTAAAGGAGAGATCTTTGGAGAATTTTATCTTATCCTCTGAATTTCTGATTCCACTCAAATAACTACATATATAGCAAAAGGCACCTGTTCGGCCTCCAAGGAAGTAGTAGTACCAATTGTCTAACCCTTTGTCTTTTTTTTTTTTTCTGGTTTATAAACACTAGTCATTGAAGCTGATGAGACTTTGATTTAATGATCGATTAAGGTTGAGTCCCCTCAAACATAAAGATTTTAAATTCAATTTCCCTTTCTTCCTCCTCCTCACATCTTAAATCCTACTCTTCCCTATTAGAAAAAAGTCCAAAAAAAAAGAAAGAAAGAAAAGTCATTGAAGCTAATATCTGCAAGATGAGCATTCATGCATGATTCAACAATATACACATTTTGATGGAAAACGTTTTCTTGAATACCAAGGTTGATGCCTGTGGGTGGCTTTCATGTGATGATGTCTAGAAAAGGCAAACAAACAGTCCCTTTTCTTGAAACCCTAAGTTTGAAAACAAAAAATCTCTAAAAAACCAAAAGCAACATTGATCAACTCGCTAGCTCCATGTGCCTTAAAATGTGGATACAAACTAACAATGGCAAAACCATAAAAAGCTTTGCTTTCCGTACTGAGGGGGGTACAAATCCTTAGACAGTTGATACTTTGAAAGTTAAACCAAGGAAAAGCACACAGCCACCGCCAGTAAGTTCATGCTAATCCCCATTCTCTTGTCTCTTTAACGGAAAAGCAATTCTCACTTCTCAATAGTTAAACATTTGAAAACGAAAAAGGAATACTTGCTTACCCCTGTTTTAGTCAAAATCAGTCATACTTGGAACTTGAAATCTAGTGACATATGGAACTAAATTTCTAAAAAATAAAAAACTAAGGAAAAACATAGTGATTCTTGTGTTTAGACTATAATGAAACGACAAATTACATGTACTTTGACCGGAGGGGAGCCAAATTTTCTTATTGTAGTCCTATTTATAACTTGGAGATTTCACTATCTTTGTTGCATGGGAGAAAATATAAAAACAAAAGTGTTCTTTTCACATTTTTGCCTTCAAAAGATCAAAAGCCACCAATTAAAAGTTAAAACATTTCTATCGAGAGCAAATTTCTTAATGTCGATTATTCAAGTTTTGGTTACTCAACCACAATTTGGAAAAGGACCGAAAGTGTTTTCTTGCGGTTTAGATTTGTGTGAACCGACGAATGAGCATGGCACTTTGCACCGGATGTGATTTATATATTCTTACTTTTGTCCTTTCCAATACTTGGAAACCTTTGATTTTGACTTCATTGCGTGAGAGAAAATTAGAAAACAAAAGTGCTACTTTTACATTTTTTGCTTCCAAAAAAATCCTCAATGTTTATTCACATTGTGGCTAACTAACCATAGGACAAGACTGATGATTTACCACGGTCACAATTTTAATGTCATACCAAATTTTTTCTCATATTACCATCATGTGCCAATTGTAATCCAAGACTATTGGCGTATCAAATCAAGGATCAGAAATTACTAAATTATTATTTAGTTGTATTTTAATCAAGTTAAGGTTTTAATAACTTTATTGGAATCAAGTTATGGTTGTTTTATTATTTAAAAATAAATATTTTTTAGAAAATTTCTCGCGAATATAAAACTTATTTACCAAGTCCTGTAGGGAGTCCCTATTCTAGTCATAAGTTGAAAAGAATGAAAGTTTGATAGATTTGTTATTATGGTATTATTGATATTATATCGTTGATTGTTCCTCTTCTTTTATACTTATTCTTATATGTATAAATTGCCTTTCCCACACACATTGATTATATGAAATTTCTCACCTATATCTTTTTGGTGAAATATTTTGGCATCTACAGAGACTAGAAAAGTTAATTGAAAGAGTAAATTTGATAATTAACACCAAGATTACTCTAACATTAAAATTTTACGCAAGACAAATTCTCCGGTGATGTGCCCACAATTTCCTATGTTGATGGAAGTGTGAAAATAAGGGATTCCGGCATAACGTGTCTAGACCAGTGGACATCGCAGGCAGACGAGTTTGAGTTGAAACTTGAAAAATGACACAAAAATCAAGGGCCACCCACTGATTTAAAGTTGGAGAGCTCGCCCTCGTGTTCGTAAACATAACTGTAAAGTTAAAACTGTTGTTTTAGATGATAGTTAATTACTACTTAATAATAATCATCATGTGGCTAGTGATTCGATGCATTTTAGTTTACCACCTGCCTGCCCATGCATGTTCTTCAACGTTTCGATCTTCGTAATTACTCTGTTAAATGCAGAGTTCCCAATCACCAGGTTTTTGTTTTTACTAGTATTTGAATAATGGTAACTATCATGCTAGTGTATTCTGCAGTCAAAGGAGGAATTTCAATATTTTATTCAGTTTTCTTGTATGAGAAAAATAAAGAATTCTTTAGAGATTCATGTTCTATTCTATAACAGAAACGGTATAGTGTGAATTTTTTTGGTCAATATATAATGTGAATCATTTGAACAGGGCATTTGTACTTGGATAGATTTTTCCTTATTTTCCTTCTTTTTTTAATTCGGGGTAGAGTGCTTTCACTTAAAATCAAGTGTTCAATTGACATTTGTTAAAATAGAGTGTAAGCGATAATATTTTCAAAAAATAGCATTAAGTTGGGAAAGTATATAAATAGAAAGAAGACAAAAATTAAAAGTGTGCATATTATATATGGGGTTACGAGTGATTTTAGTATGCTAAGTAGACATTCGCACGGTTTCAGAACCGATGATTCCAATTCTTTTGAAAGGTGTAATCTAAATCGGCCCTTATAGAGATGGTTAGGGTTATGGTTCTTGAACCTCCGATTCCGATTATGGTTTCGATTTCTTCTGATTACGGTTCCAATCCTTTTAGTTATGTTTAAAAACTTGTTGTTATAAATTTATTCTAAGAAAATATGACAATGAATGTTAAAAATTTTTTTTATTGTATTATCTAGTGCAAGGAAAAAGAAAAGATGATGCAAAATTTGTGAAAAAGTATCTCATTGTTGATTAGATTAGATTGGTCTTGGATTTAAATTAGTTATGAGGTATAAATTTACTAATGAAATGGGACAATGGGTTGTCGGGTTATAATTGGAATTGCTAGTATTAGATGCTGATTATTGATATTAAACTCTAAATTGGCTAAATAGATTTAAGTAGCAAATGTTTTTTTTAGATGATTTGAACCGATTGTAAACCGTTAGTTTCGATTCCAATTTAAAATTTTGGTAAATTTGAACTTAAATCTTTAGTCACAGTTATGGTTCCGGTTCCAATTTCTAAAACCCAATTTCAATTCCTGTTCAATAAACCGCCAAATAAACTTCGATCCGATTCTAGTTCAAACTTAAACGGTGGCCACCTCTAAAACTAATGCCCTTAAAATAAACCTTCCACTTATGTTGTACACATGGATTGCTTTATTCCATGGAGTGATGGTTGAAGTAAATTTCTATAGGTCTTTCAATTGCTGTACAAATAACAAATATTCTTTAACAACTTAAACCCTCATTTCCCATGGATGTGTTACAAGATATTTACCAACTTCTCCTTGTTATAATCATGAGAATTCTACGGAAACTTTCATTAGACCGTTTTATTGGTGTCTTATTTGTTGCGAGTTGTAGTTCAAAATTATGTTATTCCTATTTGTCATACTGTAATTTAGTTGTCACTCTATGTTAGTTGTGATACTCTTGTTACCACACTAATACTCCACAAAAAAAAAAAAAAAATTTAATTATTTGCTTTTGATAATGAGAGCCTTTAGCTGTATTCAATCAAATTAAAATTTAACTGAAAAAAAGGGGAAATAAAAGAAGATTCTTGGCCACCAAGAACAATCTTTGTCATGCATGCATGGCGGCAGACAGGCCCAAAACACCCGTATCTTCCATTTCACAGGTCTTTCATCTAATATTGTGACTCAACAAAGAGAACCATATTCAACCTTTTAACTGTAACTTTGGATACTACAGTCTTTAGCTTATAAATTTGAGTTTCCCTAAGCACTGGTTCCTCTGAGTAACTACATTGTTTTTTAACCACGAATAAAAAAAAAAAGGTGCTTGTTGGAACCTTATCTTTGACTTGGTTTGGACTTCGGACTGTCTATAAAGCCAGAGTTCTTTCACATGCTTCCTCTCCGTTCTTTTTGCTCAACGACAACATCCAAAAAGCTAGAAAAGAAACAAGAAATGGTGTCAACAAGTTTCAGGCATTTTGTGCTTGCAATCATGGTCCTTCTGCTAGCCACGAAGGCTTGTGATGCAAATAGTGATGAAGGTATTTTTCCTCCTTGTCCTTCATTAATCTAATTTCCATTTATCAAGTTCTCTTGCACAAGAAAGTTTACGCATTTTTTTTCACTTTTTTTTGGCACTTTATAGGTTTCAAGAAAGTTGAAGCTGAAGCTGGAAATGGAATTATGCCGCCAGGAGGAAAAGAAATGCACAATGCAAAGGTAATTATTATACTAGAAATTGTTTTATGTCCAAATTTGGTTACTTGTTTAATTGTCTACCAGAAAATTTGGGTTTGGAACTTGTTGAACTTAGGATCCTATCATAATCTTTTTCAGGAAATTTACAACGCTGGTCCCAGAGTTGCTGCAGATACTAGTGGTAAATTTGGAGGAAGAAAAATGATGCTTGAGATAAAGGGATTGAGTAATGAAGTGAAGAAAGAGGAAACCAAGAAGACCAGTGAAGAAGCTTCAAAGATTTCAGGTGCAAGTTCCGTTGGAAATAGTAAGCATACATGGAAGGGGAAGTTGAGCATGCAAAGTAAATTGAGTAGTAGAAGTGTCAATCATCATTTGAAGGTTAACATGGGTGGTTTTATGGCTCTCAATGCCGATTATCATATGGCAAAAACGCATCCACCTAGGAATAACTGAGGATACTGAAGATACTGAGGATAGGGAAATTTTGCCTTTTATCCCCCTCATGTTGCAATTTTGTTGACAAATTAGTAGATGCAGTACCGATAGGAAATGAAAGTATACTTGTATGTATTTGCCAATAGAATTTTAACCCCTTCTCAAATTAATGAATTTTTTCTTCTCCTTCGCAAGATAATTCTTGTTGCACTTATGAAATGATAAAGGTTATCTCCAGCCTCTTTATTTCCTTGTAAACTCATGAATGGATCTTATATACTTAATTGCTTTCTTGAATGAAACTAAGGGGTAGAAATGGATGTCTTGATTGTCACTGCCACTGTGTGTGCCTCAATCTTACAAAGCAAAACATACAAAAAACAACAATAAAGGCATCACATGACTGCTTATCTATGCACCAAGTAGTATACAAGATGCATGTAGAGCTAAAAAGAGTTACCTATATTCAGCTGAAGTAGCTGTCTTGTTATCTGCAGGAAGAAATGACAGGAGCAAAAACTTAAAGAAGTCGGCTGAGCGTTCTTTAACACAATCTTATAACCAGGTTTCAATCCTTCCATCGTGCAGTATAAAATCATCCATGGTTTTGTGTTCTCTATATCTACGAACGATGCTCGTCTTCTTTTTCACATGAACGTCTTTGCAGTATGACAGAAGACATTTGAAGGCCAATTCCAAGAATGAAGCAAGCTCAGAGACTGCAGTGACAAGGCCAAGTGATCTCCCTAAACCTGACCAACTCTGCTCCCAAGAATGTGCAACTGACTCAAATAGTTGCAGCTCAAAATGCTCATCAGTATCTAAAAGTTCAGTTTCAAAGAAATCAGATCAAGATCAAGATTCATTTCAGAATCTTGACTCTGAAAAACTGCTGAAGGCTGCAAGTCAGATTGTAAATTTGATGAATAAAGACTACCGAGGAGATGGAGGTCCTCGTCACAGATCCCCCATTAATAATCGTGAGCCTTTGCATTGAGGAATACTAGTGTCAGTGTAACAATATGCCATAGATTGGCTATGTGCATCATCTATACACAACTAACCCAGTTTTGTTTAGCTAATCTAGGGGACAAATACGTAGAAGGATATATTATTGTTCTGTTTTTTATACCATGTAACCAAGGATAGAGTAGTAACTCTCAGTACCAGTTTTAGACATGAAATGGTGTTTTAGCTTCTTCTTTTTTCTGCCTTTGTATCCTTATCAGTAACGCAAAAGGTGGTATGTGTCTGAAAAGTTTTATCAATTGTAGCATCTGGAATTTGGGGTGACCCCAGTTGCAAATTATAATTCTGCTGAAAAATTTGCAGAAACTAAAGAGACATCAAGCAAAGCAGCAATGCAGATAGTAACAGAATATATATATATATATATACAGAAATAGACATCTGTCTTTCACTCCTACTTTACATATAGTTCAAGTAGATTGAAGATGCCAGTTAGACATTTCTGTTGGAACCATAAAAAGCTATCCACTCAAAAATTGCATGGCTGTAACAGATCAATAATTCAAAACCAACCTGCTGCTTTTAAGTATTGACATGCTTCGGCCTTCGTGAAATCTTTGCAACAGTCAAAGTTTCTCCAGCATGAACCATTTGAGACTAGATGAAATCCTGAGGAACAAGAGCAATATCCATACGAATATCAAGACCATGTCATGAAAATCCCTATGAAGTTTCAGCTTATTGAACAATTCCTCTAAATGTGACTTGAACAAACTTTACAACTCTGCCTGAACCCATGGTTTTCATGATTTGTTCTGTTATAACTGTATTAGAACTTAGAAGAGGGATATGAAGAATCACTATCCAAACTAGCCATCCTGTGCAATTTTGTTGTGCTGTTTGAATATTTCTCTTTGCGTTGCAACATCAGAACCCTACATGGCTAGATCCCTTTTACTGCCACAGCTAAGTACTTTCTTGGCCACGTCTAGGATAGGTGTTGTTTGCCCTGGCATAGGCACGGGAAAGAGGAAATGATGTTCTCCATCGCCTTTGTAGTGGTATCCCTTTTCCAAGATATGGTGGGAATAGCTATGTTGTATCCATTAGAGAGATTGCCTTTTGTTGTGGGGCAAATTTTTCTAAAGGATAGTGCTTATACACGAAGTTATTCAAATATTGATTTCCTAACATTCATGAAGGCCTAAGCACCTTTTTACATCAAAGCAGGTGCATTGCTATTCAATTTTTGGTGTAAGGAGCTGATGTGATCCACACGGGCTAGGTCTCACAGTTTCAACAGGTACGGCATATCTTTGTTATCTTCAATTGCAGACAGGACCTTACTTGAACTGCTTAATTTCCCTTTCAAAGAAAATTATCTGTTCCAAGATGCTGTTACTAATGCATTGCTGCATTGCATGATCTCATTCCTGGTAAGGGGAGATGCTCTTCTAGTCTCTTCAGTTTCTATGATGTTGCCACAGAATTACGAGTAGCAATCTGGGGTTAGTCTACATACATACCAGTTGCTACGGTTGACAACTTCTCATGAAGCATACAGACTTTTGCTTTACAGGATTGCAGGTTTCTCCTGATTCAATTCCAACAAATTAAAGTGAATCACGTTTACCCTGAAGCTAATGGAAGTCCTGATCTTTTGGCAAAAATGGGCATCACATTTCAAGCTGCTTTTGTAATATCTAATTGTTGCCCTTCGGATTTATGTAATGTGTTGGATGAAGCCTTTAGGGGTGTTCATTACTGACTCTCGAATAAGATATCACTGGAATAGTGTAGTGAACTAGTGATTTCATGTCAACTGATTTATGTTGTAAATGTTGTTGAGACCAGCTCTGGAAAGGACTCGAGGATAGATAAATGGTCACTCTAATATTGACCCGGTTTGACCCGAGTTGTCACGCCAGCTTTGTGATCCTCCGGCCAATAATAGAGTCATTTTTTTTCTTGTAATGCAACTTTTATGATAATCATTATGTTTAGATTAAATGATATTGATGAGTTTATATATGTACCTTTTGAATTCAAAATATTCTAAAGATAAATGTGTATTGGAATTTTAAAAAGTTATTTTTTCAAATGACAAAAGTGAAGAGTAAGTGTTAAATTTGAAATGATGAATCTTATTTTGAAACATTAATAAAGTGAAAACATGATATAACAATGGGACGAAGGGAGCATTTTTTTTTATCGTATATTGATATAAAAACAACAAAGACAAAACAAAGGTCAAGAAACTTTGGCCATGATGAAGAAATATCGACTGTTTTTGTGTTTGGACAAGAGTTTATTGAAAATATATTTAATGTATATGAAACAAAAAAGTTATTAAAAACATAAAAGATATATTTAAAAATATAAATGTGATGCAAATAAAATTTTTTTATGTAAATAGAGCTTGTCCCAATACACCCTATCCCTTTTTCTAAATCCAAAAAAAAAATAGGAAAAGGAAAACAGGGGTGCTCTTTATCCCTTGACAAAGTTACACGCAACCACCGGAGTTATCAATGCCGTGTGCTCTCGTAGAGCGTAAGGCATGACGTTAATTGTTGAGACTGGATCATGAAGCCTACAAGTTGTCCTCTTCTTCCGCCCCAAAAAAGAAAGATACCTAAAGGATATCTATTTGTCGTCTCCGGAGCGACCTCAACACATCCAGATCATGTAACCCAAATCGGCACAATACTGCAATTACTAAGCTAAGCTTCAAGAGGGAGATGTCCATCTCACCGAACCAAAGCCCCCATGTTCTCCTCTTTCCATATCCTACCGCAGGCCATATTATCCCCCTTCTTGATTTGGCCAACTTGCTCCTCACCAAGGGCTTAACCATCACCATTTTAGTCACACCACCTAATCTTCCCCTGCTTGATCCCCTCCTCGCTACTCATCCTTCCACTTCTATACAGCCCTTGGTTCTCTCTTTGCCAGAACTCGTTAATTCCTCAGGCGTCAACCTCGCTACTCAACTTCGGGCGACTGCCCAACTCCGTGACCCCGTCCTTGAGTGGTTCCAATCCCAGCAATCACCCCCAGTTGCTATCATATCTGATTTCTTCCTAGGTTGGACCCATCACCTTGCAGCTCAGCTCGGCGTGCCCCGCGTCGTATTTTGGCCATCGGGTGCCCATCATGCTTTAATCTTGCACCATCTGTGGCATAACCTGTCGGAAAAAATCAGCTCCATGAATGAAGATTCTATGATTTCCTTCCCCAATCTTCCAAATTCACCGGCGTATCCTCTCTGGCAAGTCGCCCAAATTATCACTGAATCGAAACCAGGAGAGCCCAACTGGGAATTCTTCAGGGATAATTTCTTGTCCAATGCAAGAAGTTGGGGCATAATTATCAATTCCTTCAGGGAACTGGAAGATACTTACATAAATCTGGTGAAAACGGAAATTCGTCACGATGAGGTTTGGGCGATGGGGCCGTTAGTCTTATCTTCTTCTTCTACTGCTACTGCGGGTGACACGTCAGCATTGTCGAACCGTGGTGGGTCCAGTGCGGTCCCACTCGACGAGGTGATGACCTGGCTTGATGACAAGGCGGATGACTCAGTTGTCTACGTGTGCTTCGGGAGTCGTGCTGTATTGACGAGTCAGCAAACGGATGCCCTGGCGGCTGCACTCGAGTGCAGTGGAGTCCATTTCATATGGTGCGCGAGGGAAGCACCCCAAAATAAAGGCCAAGTGTCGAGTGATGATCAGAACAGTGCATTATTGCCTATGGAGTATGAAGATCGCGTGGCTGGGAAGGGGTTGATAATCAGAGGCTGGGCTCCACAGGTGGCAATCCTCAAACACAGAGCAGTGGGTGCTTTCTTGACGCACTGTGGGTGGAATTCAGTGTTGGAAGGTGTAGCTACTGGGGTGGTCTTGCTTACGTGGCCAATGGGTGCTGACCAATTTGCAAATGCTGGACTATTGGTTGATGAGCTTGGTTTAGCAATTCCAGCATGTTTGGGTGGACCGAAGGTGGTTCCGGACTCGACCAAATTGGCTCAGGTTTTTGTGGAATCGGTGAGTTTGGGTGGTCAGCCTAAGAGGGCTAAAGTTGTAGAGATGCGGGATGCTGGCTCCAGAGCAGTCCAAAATGGAGGAAGCTCGAGTAAAGATTTGGATGCTTTAGTTGAGCATTTGAGGGACCTTAGGCAGGAAAAATCATGATTGTTTGTTTCTTCAGAACAGAAATATAATGAGGGATGAGGTGCTGTAACATGACGTAGAAAAAAAGAAAAAAATAAAGTGCTTAGCATGGTTCTTGAAATATGCATATTCGAATCTTGGGCATTAAATCCAACCTCTCATATCGTAGTTCTGCATTTGCCATGTTGTCAACCAAATTTCACCATACCACTTTAGCAGGGTCGTGCCAGAAACGCAAATTATGAGCTAGTACAAATCAAACCCAATCGGGTTTAATTTGAACTCAATCAAGTTTAGTGGAGTCTAATCAAGTTTAAAAATTTTTAATTTATATAATTTTAAATGAGGGACAAAATAGACATTTTATACTAATATGTGTGTTTTAAGCTCGATTGAACGCGACAAATTCTTGAACTTCACATATTAGGTTCAAATTTGACTCATCAAGCAGTTTTTCAAACTGTTCAAATTCAAGCTCGAATTTGATTAATGCAAGAGCAAACTCGTGAGTTATTTGATTAAAGTCGACTCATTTGCACCTGTAATCGGAGAATCAATAAATGTTAGTATGTGCACTTGTATAGTTCGCCGCGCATAGGGACTCAAAGAGGAGAACTTTACTCAAAAAACGAAAATGAAAAAAACAGCTGGAGTTACTGGAGATGGAGGACACGACTTGAAGTTGAAGGAAGCCCATCACTAATTTGCAGGAGAAAACCTTCCAATAATAGAAGGGAATGACCAGTAACGGATGCTTTCCGTTTGTTGGAGTTCCGAGTATATCGTCGCTTCGGGCATGGCCCTGCTAATTACTGGTACTAATAAAAGTTTGGTTGATAACGTGAAAAAAAAAATG